AAACGATTAGATTTTTACAAATTGTATGTTTTGGGTTCGTTGCAGGACTGTTAGAGCTACAATTTAGAAATATTTTTACAAGATACAGAGTGTCCCAAATAAATAAAAAATATCAAAGTTGTATTTTTTAATACAATAAAATAAAGGTAAATTTGATTAAGGTTTATCACACTTAAACCTTACCGTTTTTGAAATATTTTCAATTTTGTGAAATTGCAGTCAAAAATTTAAGGCTTCATTTCTCCAAGGGTATCAAAGTTTTTGATACTAAATATTTACTGAAGTCTATTTGTTGATCAGTTATTAGGTTGCAATAATAAAAATAATACTACCTCATACAGAGTGTCTAAAAATTTATTTAAAATTATTTCTAGCTTTAAACGGCAATAACTTGTTTAATTTAAATGGAATGCCCTGTATATTTTAGTAGAATCAGATGCACAATTTAATTGTCTATCAAATTGTATTACGCCACTTTTTACCTATGCCTTCAAGTTTTCGTATAAAATACATTTTCTTATAACTTAGACCTCATTTATCAATATATCCATGGAATATTGACATTTTAGATGGTTTTTAAAGCAACAATGGTACAAAATGTACAGGTTAGTAATATTATCGTTTTTAGCAAAATGATAATATTACTAGCCCATTTGTATGCAAAAAGAAAACTATTTAAATCTTTATAAAAGAGTATACCATTAATTAAATATACCACCATTATTTCCGCCCAAATACTAATTAATTACATAGTTAATTATGTTCGTTAATAAATTATTCTAAATAAATGTGGATTTGAATCAGAAATCAATATAATAATAAGTTATGAAAATGAATGTCTCTGTTGTTATAAATAAGCATTTGTAAAAAATGAAATATCTTTTTAAGGTGTTACTTTTTACCACAATGTTTAATACACATACAAAATTCAGTTTTTTAGTATTTGGAGTAATTATTATTAATCAACGCAAACAGTCAATTAATGTAGTTTGAATACTGGAATAATATTAATTGGTCCTCTTTAACAAATATTTAAACAGTTTCTTTTTAATTTTTAATGAAATAAACAAACTATATCGACAATATTAGTATCTGTACTCTTTAAAAATTTCGTACATCTTTAAAAATAATCTAAAATGTCAGTATTCCATGGGTATATTGATAAATGAGTTTTAAATTACAAGAAAATGCATTTTCTACGGAAACTTGAAGAGATAGGTAAAAAATTGTATAATACAATTTGATAGACAATTAAATTGTGCATCTGATTCTCATAAAATATACAGGGTATTTCATTTAAATTAAACAAGTTATTGCCGTTTAAAGATATTAATTATTTAAAATAAAATTTTGGACACTCTGTATAAGGTAGTATAATTTTTATTATTGCAGCACAATAACTGATCGATAAATAAACTTCAGTGAATATTTAGTATTAAAAACTTTAATAGCCTTGGAGAAAAAAAGCCTTAAAATTTTGATTGCAACTTCACAAAATTGAAAATATTTCAAAAACGGTAAGGTTTAAGTGTAATAAACCTTTATCAAACTTACCTTTATTTTAATCGTAGAAACTATAAATGTAATAATATACAGGGTGTTCCATTTAAGAAAATACAACTTTGATATTTTTTATTTATTTGGGACACTCTGTATCTTGTAAAAATATTTTTAAATTGTAGCTCTAATAGTCCTTCAACGAACCCAAAACTTACAATTTGTAAAAATCTAATCGTTTAGCTACAATACTCCGTGTCGTATGTGGTGAACAACCCTGTATATCTAAAAATTGAGTGCTTAATATAGCAGACGTGATGAAATTTAATTTAATTTAAACGTTTTATTGTCACTTACTTGATAATTCTGACTTTTCTGGGAACACAATGTTTAACAGGCTTTAACCCAATCATTATCGATTGAATTTTATCTTAGTTATTCTTAAAAATTTAATAATATTTATTATACAGCACTAATCGATAATTAATACGGCAACTAATTTATAAATCATACTAAATAATGGTACCTATCAAAAAATGGGTATGAGTAGAAATATTTAGTTTTTTAAAAAGTTCTAATTACTGCACAACAAAATTTGTAATCAATATTTTATATAGATGTTATATAAATATTTATGTACACCCCAATCTTCGGCTTAACATATTTTGATATGTTTACGCATATACAGGATCCAGCAATAGTGCGTCGGGCATCTGTAGTTCCTGGAATAAAAAATTTGGGAATTTTGTTTAAGTGCAAACCTAAAGTATGTACTAGGATGTATTTCAGGAAAATATTTTAATTTCTATAGGGTGGCTCAAAAAAGTCCGACTGGATCGGGATGATTTTATTTCAAATGGTTTTATTTCAATTCTTAACAAGTAAATAAAAAATATATATTTTTCAATATTACTTAAAAAAATATTAAAAATACTAGTGTGCTGAAATCAAAACTACATTAGGTTTTTACTTTCGATTCTATATACTTACTTTGCTAAAAATATGACAATCGTAAATCATACAGGATGTTCAAAATTGTACGGCAAACTTTCTAAAATATAAAATAATTTTTCTTCGTTTTTTTTTTTTTTAAATGGAACACCCTGTATATTTATTTTCAGGAGAATTAAAGTTGACCATTTTTGTATTTAGAGTATTTCAAAATTTCTACGCTCTCGCAGATATTCGCTGTTTTATATTTCATATGGCATTTTCTACAGTAAATATTTATCAAAGCCACCCGATGATTTTTCTCTCGTATTTTGCCGTTGAAAGAGCCATATGTCTGTAACAATACTACGTGTATCTGTGAAACCATTAAAAATTTTAAAGTACTTTAAATACAAAAAATGTTTATTTTTTGACTCTCCATCTAATAAAAAATAATATACAGGGTGTTCCTTTAAAAAAACAAAGAAAAATTATTTTATATTTTAGAAAGTTAGGCGTAGAATTTTGAAGACCCTGTTTGATTTAAGATTATAATATTTATAGGAGAGCAAGCACTAGACCATCTAAAATAAATACTTAAAATAGTTTTGATTTCAGGACAGTTCTTGTACTTGTAATAATTTTTTAAGGAAGGTTGAAGAAAATATTATACCTATTTTTTATATATTTATTAATATCTATGAAATTATACACATATAGTTACTCATATCTTAGGATTATGTAAAGTGATATGAAAGGAAGCCAAAAGTGCAATAATATATAACGTGTTCCATTTAAAGAAAATCATCCCGATCCACTCACACTTTTTTGAGTCACTCTCAGAACTCTTTCACCTAGAAAAGCTAAAATATTTTCCTCAAATACATCCAAGTACATACTTTAGGTTTGCATTTAAACAAAATTCTCTATTTTTTTATTCTAGGACCTACAAATGCCCGACGCTCCATTACCGGACCCTGTATATATAGAGACATCAACAGTCGCATACAAAAGAAACCTCCGAAAATTTTGAACATCGTTTATCCTTCAGTCTAGACCTGTGATGCTTTAAATTATCATAAATTTTTATTCTGACATGTGCAGCCCATATTCTATTATTAACAATTTATTCATAAATATCTAGATTTAAAATAACTCGCTTGGTAAGTATGCTCGATCAGTTATAAACCTGCCCAAATATTAATGCAAATATGCACAATAACCAGGTGTTTCGACATATGGTGTGGTATGTTTTTGAATAAGGTTAAGAAAAAGTATAGTAATTCCAAAAAAACAATAGATAAAACTATTAGTTTTATACTTGTTTTATGTGTCCTGCTTAAGTATTAAAATTGTATAATATTGTTATTATAAAATGTTTACTTGCTTTTATGTATATGTTATGTTTTCATATACGTGGAATACGATAGGACAAAAATTGCTAACAGCATTACAGTGTCCTTTGAATTGGCAGTCATAGTTTCTGTCAAGCCAACCTCTAGTTGTCATTATTTATTAAAAATTGGGGAGAAACCCGATATTTAAATGTAAAAAATCGACGTTTCCTGACATTATTAGGCCGTATTCCATTCTTTGGTTTCTATGTCTTGTCTGAAACTTTTATTATTATGATTATGGAACACGGTTCTTAAAAACATCTGTCAATATTTTCATCAAAGTAATCAGGGAAAAGTAAAGTATTCTGTAAACATATTTTCTGACTCATCAGTCGGGTAAAATTATCATAAGCCAAGCAAGGAATTTCTTGCTATGGAGCTTACAGAATCGTACTGCTGGTTTCCCGGTCTTTCTGTCAATTATTTGTCATTCAATCTCGTTTTTGTAACAAAAAAAGCTTGAAGTGTCTGAAGTGTTGAACAGAGTTTTTTTCAACATTAAACTTCCATTGAAAAAACAAATCAAGTATGAAATAAAAAGTTCTATAAAAAAAATATTGAAATTAAAAAACGTCAATATTTGACATTTCTAGGTACTATATTTTTAAACTGAGTATTTTACCGATATTTTTCAGGAACCGATTCTTATCGTAGTTTACCAGTCTGGTTAACCTGATTTTACAATGGAATTGAATGAAATACAGCCTGATAAACTAATTAATGCAGCAAAGATTATTTTTTGAAAATAAATTTGTGTCTGGAAACTTCTTTCTACAATAAATATTGATTTTTGACAGATTAGTATGTAAATTATTAATGAATAATGTTGGAAGTCTGTGCGATAGTAATTATTATAAATTCTCATTTTCAATGCCACTTTTTTTAGAACATACGGTATATTTTATCATATGTTATTTAAAACAGATGAAAACAAATCTGTAAGAATTTATTGCGTTGAAACAAAAAACTGGAAGTATATTATTTTATCCCACAATTACGATGATTACTATCATCACTAACCAACCTAAAGCACAAAGCCAAATCGAATAAAACCTGACCACAACAGCAGCGAGCAGCAACGCCAGATAACCTTCAAGAACGTACGTAGTACGTTACCATTTACTCTTTTTTTATTATTATAATTTCACTTCGATCCTCTCAACATTTGACACTTACAACTGATTAGGTAGGCAGGAGCGACCACTTTTTTTCGCACACCGCTTCTTAGTCGATGTTATCCTGTCGCGACGACGTTTCGTGTCCTGTTTTTGTTCCTTTTGCGGTCACACGCCGGGCGGTTCACCACGAACGACCGGTTGCGCTAAGTTTCGCGACGCACTGAACCTACTCCGCGGCCATGTTGCGTTCTGGACACTGAGATCTGGCGGTTGGGGACCGAGAGCCGCGATGTACCAGCCATCGTTGCCGGATCTGTCGGGTTCAAATTCCCCAAAGATATGAGCCGCAGGAAAAATTTGGACACATAGTTTACCAACAACGTACTCCTGTTCATTTTTTGTTGTTGTGCACTGTTTCTATCTACTTTAGTTCTGCAACTTGTTTAATATCGTACCATCTACTTTTTCCCAGTTTTTCTTTTGATATTCCTGTTCCTGGTCTCCATTATTATTTGATGCGACTACGAGACCAGAACTATATATGATCTTTCCGTATCATATATAGCTTTATTCTACTGCACTCATTTACACTAACATGTTTCATCGTTACAACATATTTGTCACCACATTATTCCTGCCTGTTTTCTGTCGTAATCCCAGTTTATCAGCGATTAGGGCATCCCCTCGGTCTTATTACGCCCCTCTTGTGCCATTTTGGTGATGGTCCATCTTCCGTCAACCCTTCTCTTTAAATGATCTGCTCATTGCCATTTGAGTAATTAATTCTGTATTCATATATAGTCCTGGTCTCTTATCTACTATGTCTTGTTTCTTATCTTTATACTCTATCCTCTTGTTGTTGAGTTAGATTAAGAGTGGGTTTCAGGTGGGACCCTCAACTGCGGCCAAAGGGCCTATTGTGGCTCTCTACCTTGCTGACTTTGTTTGGACCATAGAGTACCAGAATATCTAGTAATTCATTCTCACTTAGCTCAAAACAAATTTTTATGATATACAACCTTTCTGATATAAATTTCCATTTGCGTACATATTTTCTCTCTTCTTTCCTAATAATACATTCCACCCTGCCTGTGCATGTCACTCTTGATTGACTCCACTGAGTACAATCTCCGTTTAATTCTTCACATCTGCACCCTTTCATTTTAGTTTCCGTAACTTATAGTATGTTTACTTTCTTCTTGGTGTTCCTCTTTGTTATTTCAAATTCCTGTACGTTTCATAGATACTATGAAATTTCCTTATGTATCCAAGTTGTACAGCCCATTCATGACTGGTCAGATCATTATCATCATCATTATGGTTATTATCTACACAGTAGACCTCCCTTCTTTGTGCCATTCATTCTTATCTATTTATTACATATATGATGTCTCTGATCCAATTTGAAATTGTATACATTAAAATGAGAGACAGGACGGAACAATATATGAAGCAGTATTGGAGAGAAATATGCCTTCGTAGTTTGGCCTGAGATAAATAAAATCATAAACCACTTCGATGTAGAATTTAGAATGTTTAGGAGGGGGATTAATCACCGCGATCTTACAGATATATTGTGTGTTCCCCTTTCTTGAGTTATAACGAGTTATAACTAGTGATGGGAAAAACGGATTAATTTCAATAATCGAGTATCAAGCGATTGCAATAACCGAGTGATCACTCGAGCGAAATATAGCTCGCATTTAAAAATACGGTTTTTTGTCCGTCGCATGTTATAAGTACTCGTTACTCCAAGCGCCAAGCAGTAAGCTGCGTACGCAGGGCACATATTCTTTCGGTAACGAACGGCAAGTAGTAAGCGGCGAGCGATTCACTTGATCGCCTGATCTGATTTAGTTTATTTCGAAGCATTGTCGATGTAGGTCGTAAAATTTTGTCTCTCTGATACGCAACGGATAAATATACCGGGTGCGTCTCAAAAGTGGGTCACCCCTATAACTTTTTTATTTTTTCAGATAAAACAAGGTGTGTTAGTATATGACATAAATTAGGATTGATTGACATATCCAATTGTTTTCGGTCACTTCCGGTTTCACCGGAAATATTTTTTTATTTTTAAATCGCACCCTCGGTATTTTTTTACTTTATTCGGTAGAAAATGACACTCTGAATAAAATGACATATCACATGTCAACTTTTGACATTTTCGCATATGGTTTTTTTTAAATTGTAACATGCGGTTCACAACGACAATTTGACTCGAAGTACCAAGTGTCTGGTATCAAATTATTCGTAAAAAAATTCTTTTTCGAAATATGCTAATGATCCACCCTCGTTCCATTTGAAAAAAATTGAGATATGATCAAAAATGCGATTTGGGCATCTTTTAACCGGCCAGGGCAAGACACTAAAAACCTTAGACGATCAAATCAATTTTTCCAAGACTCCTTGATTAAAAATTAGTGTTTTTAACACAGCCATGGCACTCTAGATTGAAATTTAAAATACAATTTGTTTTTAAGCGATTATGTCAAAAGTTGACATATGATACGTCATTCTATTTAGAATGTCATTTTCTATCGAATAAAGTAAAAAAATACCGGGGGTGCCATTTTAAAATCAAAAATTGTAGTCATTTCCGGTGAAACAGGAAGCGACAGAAAACAATTGAATGCGTCAATCAATCCTAATTTATGTCATATACTAACATACCAAATCTCATTTTTTTATCTAAAAAAATAAAAAAAGTAATAGGGATGAGCCACTTTTGAGACGCACCCGGTATATACGGCGTCGTATAAATTTGCTACCTGCAATGTATGTACAAAATTCGCTCGGCTTTTTATCGAGTAAGTCACATTAAAATCGGATTTCAATTTATTTCATTCTAGGATCGCTTGCGTTCGTCGCTTGGTACTCGTCACTTGCATCGGTCGTTCATAATCGAGCGATGTCGGTTATTTCAATAATCGAGTACTCCAGCGAATTTTCGCTCGAGTTATCCCGTCACTAATTATAACTCATCATACAGTCCCAGGGCTTTGACAAAAACCAGTATCTGAGACGGCTCCACAGAGGCCAGCTCTCCATCTCCGACATCAGCCGTACCAAAGTTTATGACACGAACGGTTGTCGTCTCAGAGCACTTAGAGATTAGGTGCTCTGGTGTTTCTCCATTTTTCCCATAGAATCTGCATTCGCCGTTGTTTCCCAGCTTCAATCTACTAAGATGTTCGTTGAGGAGAGAGTGTCCTGTCAGAGCTGGAAGCTCACAGGAAACTTGTCTTTTTTTGACTTAAATCATTTTAATGACTTAAATCTTTGATTTTAAGTCATATTTCGAAAGCTGACTTAAGACTTAAAGTTTGAGTCATTTTCAACTTGTGACCTTATTCCGAAATAAGTCTTTATTCCGAAATAAAAAAAGATTTAAGTCATTAAAAAAAGATTTAAGTCTTTTAAAAGATTTAAGTCTTTTTGGAAAAGATTTAAGTCTTTAAAAAAGATTTAAATATTTTTTAATGACTTAAGTTTTTTACAAAAGACTTATATCTTTTAGAAGATTTAAGTTTTTTATGACATAAATATTTTAGAAGATTTAAATATTTTATGAGATTTAAGTCTTTTTAGAAAAGATTTAAGATTTAAGTCAGTAAAAAAGATTTAAATATTTTTGTAATGAGAAGTCAGTTTACAAAAGACTTAAATCTTTTAAAAGATTTAAGTCTCTACAAAAATGACTTGACTTTAAAGATAATGTCAAAGACTTAAAACTTAAGTCATTTGAACTTTGTACTGAAATTGGCTTAAGACTTAAATCATTTTGATTTTAGAACTGATTTAAGACGTAAGTCTTTTTAAAACTGACTTGTTGCAGCTCTGTGTCCTGTCAGAAACCCCCAAAAAGGACAATCCGGAAGATTGTTCTTACTTAAATCAAGAAAGAAATATTTTTCTAGGTTGTGTTCCTCAGAAATGTTTTCGGAGTGCCTTACACCAAGTTGGAGGATTCCTATTCCAGGTTACGTATGGAGTTTTCCAGGTTCCTTCTTGAGTTCCGCTTTGGGTTGTTTCACTCTTGGAAACAGAACGGTTCTGGTCCAGTAAGTGGAGTGTCTGCCCTTTCTAGCTAGATCGTTTTTTTTTTTTCATTGCCTTCTATGGGCAATTTCATTGCCTCTATCCCTTTGGTGAGCGGACACCCAGAGTAGGGAGGAATTTTCATTGCTTAATTTGTTCAGCTTATCTAGGCACTATTTCACCAGCCTTGAATTGATGATTACTAGATCGCTTTTAGTGCTGCTTGACTATAGAAAAGATGGTTATCTCCTTTTTTCGATAGTTCCTATCTAAAATAAATTGTAATGCGCATCTTCGATAGCATAGATTTTATCTCGAAGGATTTTTCGGGAACCATTGATAATATGGAATCACTTCGATATCATTATATAATATGGACACCTTATAACTTCAGGTCATGTATCTTTTGCCACCTACATGATTTTTCACTGTTATCATTAATACTAGCAAACTTGGCAACCTGGATATCCGTTCACCTGTCCAAGCTGATCACCCACCGTGGCGATCGGATCGGACCTGTTAGGTGGGGCCCGAGCCTTGGGGCGACTCGGACGCGAATTTTTGTTCATATCGGAGAGGATAGTGGTGGTCGCTTCGGTAATTTTCAACATAGAGTGACGTGCGTCTAACCGAGCTTAAAGGTAGTTGTGTTCAGATTTATTGTTACATGTGATGAGACATTTCACATAACATTTAACAAGGTTCTAATATTTTAGGTCTGTCTTTAACTGGATGATCACAAAAATTAATTGGTGAAGCTTTTTTTCCGGAGACTTTTTTATTTCGTATGCGAAGAGTATATGGGTTTACATCAATTGTAACTATTGTTAACTTGTACCTTGCATAGCTTTTTTACTTTTCAAGAAAAATCTGCCTTTGGACAGCTTCTATTTTAGCGATCTCAGCCCACAGTTGCCTGTGTATATTGCAGTCAGAACACGCCCGGCATTATTTTGATTTAGATCATGTATTTCTCTAGTTCTAGTTTGGATGGTGCTGCTGAAATATTAAAATTTAATAGGAGATTTTCCCTAATTCAGAAAACGATTACAAGAGTTAAATATTAATTAATATTTATACAACCTATTCCGTTTGGTTATGGGGGTGCAGAAGAAAGGACTTCAGCTCTTAAGAGTACATTTCACTAGTCCGAAAAATAAAGCAAAATAAACGTTAGGCATTTAACGTTTTATGTAAACT